CACTCAAATACGAATGAATAAACTCTAGATTGGCTTCGGTTTTGGGACCAATTTAGACTCCGATCAGTAGCAAACCCTGGCAAAACTCGGTGTTGCACATGTAAAGGTAATGCTTGGCTGTCAAAAGGTGATTCTTAGAGATTCTGCATGAAGCCTATTAAAGCATGTGAACCATACTAACTAATTTGTTGTTCGTTTAAGTTCTGTAAAAGAGATTTTTTATTTGTTTCCCTGTGGACGAAACTTGATTTTATGTGTGGCACTGAATTCAAATCAAGGGCACTGAAAATTACTTTTATTTATTTCTCGTGCTGTTCTTGCTGTACAAGGTAGTTCTGACTTGTGGCTCTGCTGAGAAAATCGGGAGAGTTCAGCACATTCAAACGAAAGCTTACGGCGAATTACTTTTCTATGCTGTTGTTTATGAAATCCTAAGGGGGCGATTAGTTCAAGGAAGGATAACTCCGGCAGGTGCTGGCTCAACTAAGATCATTGGGCCTTCCGACTTGTTTTTTAAGTGGGATAGTGTTAAGTAAAACGTGGTCTTCTAGTCCTCAAAACGCGTCTTCTTGACGCTTTTCATACTAAGCCGATGTTAAGTCATTGGGGTTGGATCAACTGTAAACGGATTCAACTTTGTTTAGTCGATCCCATAAGGGTTCAGTTGTGTGCTCCTCAAATGAAAACTATTTTTCGTTACCTTTCTATGGTGTTATGCTGCGGTGCTATTTTGCTTTACAAAGTGTTCGGAGAGTTTAACTAGCTTATAGATAAATCCTCCTCTCCAGCGACTATTCAAATGAAAACTGGTGAGTGTTGCTTTTCTCTGATGCAGTTACTTTGTTACGTTTTAGAAGGTGGTTTTAACTTTCGTGTCTGTTGATGAATTCCACACTATTCATGGTAAAAGCTACAGTGTCTACGCCAAGTGCCTATTTTCTAGGCACTCGGCGCAGGGGATTGCAGGGCCTGAACCACGAGAAATATACCTCAGTAGCAGGCAACTCTTCGTGACACTGTTTGCTAGGAGACACACATGCAAGTTTCAGGAAACCACATTATAAAACGGCTTAATCTGAAGTAGGTTTGAGAATGTTCCATTGGAGTCCCTGATAAAGCTGTGCATGAAAATGTTTCACGCCTTTTTGCTCAATAGCAGGCAACTCTTCGTGACATTGTTTGCTATTAGACACAATACGTTAACACAAGTTTCAGGAAACCACATTATAACACGGCTTAACTTGAAGTAGGTTTGAGAATGTTCTAATGGAATTTCTGATAAAGAGTGCATGAAAATGTTTCACGCCTTTGTGGAAACGCCCCGTGTTTATTACTAAAGGACCATTTTGCTTAAAACGTGGACTTTAATTCCTGGTTATGATCAAATTGTTGATTGCTCATGAATAGAACAGAGTAAATAACATGTCTGATGTACAAAACTTTCCAATCATAGAGCTCACCATTTTATTGTGAAGTTAAAAAAATGTTTAGACTAAGGCAATTTCAATATTTTCAGCTTAAAGTTCAACTGATGCTAGTAATTTTCTGACTTCTGACTCAAATGAAACCCAATGGGCAGTACTTTACCTGCGGTGCTGTTGCTTCTAATTGACAAAGGGAAATTTAGGAAGCGGCTCTGAAAGGGTTCTGACCTTTTAATTTCCAGAGTCAGTAGAGCCTTTGAAACGGATGACGAAATCATGTAATGTCACCATTCAAATGAAAGGTACTAAGCAGCACTTTCCTGTAGTACCGTTTTAATATTATGCTGTTCACAGTGGTTCTAAACTTTAATCCTATGGTATGACCATTCAAATGAAAGTTACTGAGCATTACTCAGTCCTGTGGTATACTATTAATTATGCTGAACAAGTTGTTTCTACCTTTCGAGTCTGTGTATCAAGTCCTATAGCGTTGCTATTCAAATGAAAGCTTCTAAGCACCTCTTTGCTGTGATACTGTTAATCTTAATTATTATGCTGTACAAGGTGCCTCTTACTTATGAATCTGTGGATGAAATCCTATGGTGTGACCATTCAAATGAAACCTGCTGAGCACTTCTTTGCCGTGGTACTGTTTATTATGCTGTACAAGGTGAATCTCACTTTAGAACCTGTGGATGAAATCCTATGGTGTGACCATTCAAATGAAAGCTACTGAACACTTCTTTGCTGTAGTATTGTTTATTATGATGTACAAGGTGGTTTTAACTTTTGAGTCTGTGCATGAAATTGTGTAGTGTTACCATTCAAATTACACCTTTTCAACTGTACTTTCGCAAGGTTCCAGATGTCCTTTAGTATAATTTACAAAGTGTAAATACTATTTTTTTTTTTTAAGTTTGCTAACTGGACTTCATAGTTGTTAAAGGGTTGAGGTGGCCCATTTGTATGTGCGTTGCCGTTTTCTTCTTTCAAAATGTGAAGTATTACGGCTTATGTTGGTTACACTCTGTGCAACTTGTTCCCCTAAGTAACGAATAATGGCCGTAGACAGCCAAGAAGTTCACTGATTCAAACAACATGATTAGGTAAACGTTCTCTGACAAAATTCGTTAAAATACATGTTTGTGTTGAAATCAATAAAATAGCACGATGTCTGCGGTAAATCTAACTCCCTAACCATGGTCATTTGTACTTTGGCCAACATTTCACGGGGAGAACAAATTAAAACTCAAAGGAAATCTGAACTGTGATTTTTATTAAAGACTAACACACTGCAGAATGGTGAGTCGTTTAAGCGTTTGCATAGACTGATACGGATGTTATTCCACTGTTAGTAGTTAATTAGCAGTGAGTTAAAATGGAGTTATCTAAAAGGTGAACGGTCAACTTCATTTTCTACCGAAAGGGGATCACGGAACAAATACTTCAAAACTCATGGCGTCGGCATAAAAATGCAAAACGAAAAAAATCCACCCAGAATTTGTAAAGTCAACAACTACAAGCGTGTTTAATGAACTGCTACACCTTCAGACTTGATTCAAAGATTCACCCAAAGAACAAAGCTATCGCAAGACAAACGAACAGGACTTTTATATCGCCAGTTCTCATTCGATATCACTTTTAATTATATCAGTAGTTTTACACTTATTCAAAGCCGAGCTAGAAACATTAACTGAGCTTGACAAGTATGTCTTCTTCATCGTTTTTATTTCATCGCAAATGGGTTCCTGAAATAACTCTTTAACTTATGAAAAGAGTTAGACCTTTTTTAAAAGTGCAGATACATTTTTAACATTGCCTGCCTAAAAGGGTTCCTACGAGTTACAACAAACACAAAAACAGCAGTACAGGAATTTTGCATTAAAAACAAAGACAATTAAATCGATTTAATGAGGTCCATTCTTTCCATTGACTCAAGATGGGACAAGGTACAACATAACTGAATTATGGTTAACATTTGTCACGAACCAGGATTTCTCAAAAGACTATTCAAGCGATTCACTGTAAGTTCACATCAACTTCTAGCGTAAAACAACCTTATTTTTAAGTTTCAGTCGTCTCTTAGCAATACAGGTGCCATTTGGATATTAAGAAAAACTTAGGTGACGTCGTAATTTTTGAGGGGTGTCCTTGATATTGGTTCGATCTGATGCTGTTATGTTGTTACTGTTTAGGCGGCAATTGCTACTATTTAATTCTATCATGAAATGGACCATCAATGCGCTTTACGATCAGGCATTCGCTGCCAAAAGGTTGCTGAATCAGTATATTTTGATACATCTCGCAAAACTGACAACCATCCGAGCGTTTTACAAAAGCGCCGCGCAGGAAGGAACTTGGTTCCTTTTCATCTTTTCTTTTTTCCTGATTGGTCTTGCTAAAGGTGCAATATTACTGAAAAAAAAAATTAAAAACAAGAAATACCGACTGCACAGTAATTGCGTAGCAGGAAGCAGTTTGCGTGCTTTTGATCGAAGTCTGGTTATTACCACTGTATTACTTTGTAAAGAGGCAGATACGTGGATAATATCATATTCATTTGTGAGCTCTGGACAATTAGCTAGGGAACACGACTGCAACTGGTCTCAAGCAGAGTCTATTCAACCGTTAACAGCGAACAGCCTTGAATCAGGTAAGCTATGAAGTATCGAACGCGATAGATTTTTTCGAAAAAGAGCCGTAATTAGTGATCTACGCCCTAAAGGTTCGATAGCAAGGCTCAGATACAATCCCGCGACAGAGGTAATTCAATGACAAATGCGGTTGGCTAACTGCTATGACTATTTACATGTTGAAGACTAGACGATTCGACTTGCTTTGAAAAGTTAGCTTTGAAATATACCTTGAAAGTTCCCAGTCAAACATCTTCATAAAGCCCTTATCCTTAAGTTTTGACTTCCATTCAGTTAATTTCAGTAAAACGGAACTCAATTAACTTTATCCCTACAACAAAAGGTTTCAATGGGCATTATAAAATGACGATATAAATATAGCTATTCTACTGTAGAATGGACAAGATAAAACATCATCAGTAGAACTGAAAGGACAATGGATAATCGCGACATCGAGCGCTGCGTTTTTTCTATTCATTCACAACAACAGTCGTTTGTGGGTGCTCATAAGGTTTAAGCCATGAGAAATAAGACTTTTGATCACAACGTTGAGAAAGAATGACTACAAGATTCTGGTGTCTTGCATAATGAAACTCAGAGATATCTTTCGATATATTTTGAAAAGAAAACCGCAAACAAACTTGCCTTGGAAAAATCAAAATGTGAAATGACAATTGAACTTTTAATTACAAAGCACTCAGGAGAGGAAAAAAATAGCGTATTTCTAGCGAAGGGCATGGCAAAATTCTTTGACCGAGAGCATATGACACAAAAAATGCCATTCTAGAGAAATATGGAATATTTTACTCCAGAACATGGCGTGGCAGTTATGCTCGATGACAATCCCTAATTTGCTTATTGCTCTAAATGAAATCGAGCCCGCCCCCTCAATTAGTTGATTGAAAACACGACTTCTATGACCTACGGTATAGACCACGTATCTGCTGGTATCAAAACCGTTATTTTTTTGTAATGTTATCACGTGGAATACAGTTCGAGAATTGCGGTGGCGACCCTTAGGGAAAAATAACATAAAAAGACTTTAAATATCGCAATCTTTTGACACCTTTGATTTATGTTATCTCAAATCAGCAAGATGCTGTGACTTTGACACCACTTAAACACTTTGACTGCTGTGGCAGCGAAAAAACAGACATTTTGCTTTAGTTTATAAATCAGTGTCACTCGCGAAACATGATAAGAAACACGTCTGTTCACTCATTGCTCATAAACGTCGTCGCGAATTTAAAACGGATGGAAAGAAGCACAGCTTTACCACACACATAGATCAAACAATTACTTTTGAATAAAACACACCTTTACAATAAAAACCATTGTTCAAGCGAGCACAATAAAAGTGACATTTAGGCGTTGCGTTCATACTCGAATGATCACTTACAAAGGAAGGACCGGGACTAAATATATTTCGATGTTATCGGAGCTCGTATCACATGGGCGGGTTGATGATTTGACCCGCCATAATTCACGGCTATATATACCTTGAATGAAAACAGGGAACGTATGATTGAATACATTCCTTTGTATGCTAGAAAGTGACAGCTTTCTGTCTCGGTTGGTGGCATAGTGTTATAATCCAGACCAATAGTGACAGTAATTTTATAATCATAAGTCCCGTCTGTTTCTCTCTCTCTCTCTCCTCAGCGAAGCCTCGTTGATTGCAGCAAAATGGCGGGCTATTTTGGGCATGTCGGCGGACATATGCCACCATACCCTGTAAACAGCCACGGATTAAGCCATCCAGCTCCCAACATTGATTTTTTCAGCCAAATGGCGCCTCCGTCTTGTGGTAAGTGCCTCGTGAATACACTTGAATTAGATTTAAAAGCGACCTTGCAGTGACTCATTCTACAGGGGTTTGTTGCAACCAGTTACAGTTGCATGAAAGTAGCGTGCTCTTTACGGTTGAATTCTGTGCGGGTTTTGCGTAACAGCAACTTGAACGAATGAAGTGAGGATTAATCACAAGCTTTAGTTAATTTATCTATTGGATTTTCATTTCCCGTGCAAGAAGGTCACGGGATACCACTGCAACTTAATCGTGACAAGACCTTGTGTTTAATCTTCGTTCTAGTCCATTTTATCCCCGACACAGTTCATTGAAAGACACGACTGTGAATCTAAAGGCTTAAATTATCCGCGCTTTTGCATAGAATGTGACGGAAGCCATCGTTTAATAGCCGAAACAGCAATGGATTTGGAGGAAATGTGAATTTGCGCAACTAACTACATGCACGTAGCTGAGAAACGCGTTTTGAACGTTACACATGTATCTCCTTGGGCAGTTCTTCAAACACTTTATTTGCTAATTGAAAAATGGGTTTACATACACGGATTTGCTCATGGAACAATGTTTAAACAGGCCTTGTTTGTTACATAATTACACATCATTAAAGGCTTAGTAAATCATCATCGATTTCATGCAGTTCGTGGTGTTAGGAAACCTGTCATTTACCTCAACAGTTGACAGAATGGATCGGACAAGTCAGTCCTTCATTTGCCTTACATTTGTCAAAGCAACGTTATTTCCAGTGATCTAGATAAACAAATTCACTTCACTTGGCTAAATTAGAGTAATTTGACATTTTTATGAACTTCTGATTGACTTCATTTGCGGTCAGCAGTGGTTTCTGTGGGTCGTCTCTTCTGTGCTGTCTCAGAATTGTTAAATGTTTCTTCAAGCTCACGGGTTGTATAATTTCGCTAACCACTGAGTTACGTGACGAGAATAGAGTTGCTGGATTTGAAATTGTCATGATCGGAATAGAATGGCAATGAAATACATAAATTTCATTTAACCGAGAGGCCTAGACTCGTTGTTGAATTATTGCTGCAGTATGACTGTTCTTTCATAAACTCTTCAACTATCAAAGTGCGCATTCAATTGCAACAGGCAGTCACTTTTTTATAAAAAGCTGTAGGGAGGCTGCACGAGGTACTACTTTTTTAGTCTCATTCCGCAATGGTAGTAAAGCTTCGGAGCCTCTGTAACACAGTTTCTATGAAGTGAAGGCGAGCCGCTGAGTGGTATATCGGTAAGTTTGTTTTTCTTTCGTGGATAACGATGCCCTTGAATGTTGAATCTTGCCTCACGCAAAAAGTACGAGAGATGCTGTTTCTGTTGTCTTTTTTGTATTCAAAGTTTTTCGTTTTTTTAACTCTTGCGACTTGCAATACAGGCGACTAAAAATGCTGGTTAAATGATTAGTGCTAAGAACTGATAGGCCACCATAGAATAGTCCTAACAACTTGCTACAAACTGATGTGAAAGGTGCAGAAAGAGCTACAGCATCTTTGCAACTGAATTTAGAATTCACAAAATTGGTCTCATTTGCTCTACCTATGAGCATCTCCGTTCCGAAGGTCACGTAGTAAAGTTCCTAAAAACAAAGTTAGTGTAGGAGGGTTTGAGGTACCGGTAGTAACAAAGATAATTGGTTCGGTTTGTACCTTTAGATCCGGATGCCACTAGATGCGCCTGTACATGTATATTCAGTTAAAGAAAAACGTAAAGTTGAATTTGTAAACGATAATTGAAATGTACAATCATACTTTCAACGCAGGTCTTCAAGTTTTATGCCATAGTTTTTTAATCAGTTTACTTTTGGATTCTGTGCGCGAAATTGCATCCCAAAATGCGCCACTGAAAATAGAGCTACTTTAAAACTGCACTTTCCTGTGGCACTGTTAAATTTGTTGCACAAGGTACAGAAAACTACAGTGTGACCTTTCCAAAAATTTGACCGGTGCTGTTTATTCAGCTGTGTAGATTACTCTCTTAACTTTTGAGTCACTGAATGGAATCTTCTGAGGCTTCCCATCCACAATGAAGCTATTCTGATAAACTTTGTTTGGTATTCTGTTAGTTCAATATTATGCTTTTTAAGATGATTCTTGTTTTTCAAAATAAGATGAAATGTTATAGTGTGAAAAACAACGGCTAGTGAGCAGTTGTTTATTATGCTATACAACATCGGCTTTATCTTCTGGGTTTTCTGGACGCTAATCTTCAGTGTGGACGATTCAATTGAAAGCTTCTAGCAAAACGCCACGAACATTCTTCGTTTATTCATATCTTCGGACAATTAAACGTTGGTCAGGGTTGTATTCGGCACTTTTGTAGGTGCAACGATTATCAAAGAGAAAGGCAGTTGCAAGGGATATATCATTAAGTCAGTTTTGGTTAAAATACGATGTTTTGTCTGGGCGTTCATCCTTAAGTACAACATTCTGTTCAAATGAAAACTAGTATTGTTATAATGTTATTATGAGGCAATAGATGGTGTATTAGTATTGTAAACTAGCGTTACGAAAACAGGAAAAGAAAATCGATTATCTTCACCGCACATGCTGCTGATATTGACGAAGTAAAGTCACTCAGAACTTTCAGCCAAAAGACGGAACAAAAATAGAATAACAACGTTTAAGATCTAAGCTTTTATCTCGCTGGACGAGCAGAAAATGCCAAATTACGGGTACAAATAACTAGCTGTGCATAGTCAGGCTTGTTGTGCTAAAATACTTTTATCTACTCTTGGAAGAAATATTCTCACTTTGTGTCGAGCAACAATGCATATTTTCCGTGCATGCGTGATATCACGTGAGTTTTCTCATGGACGGTTTCTAAGGTCATTTAAAGTGAACTGAAACGTTTCACAATTTTGTTTAAACTGAGAGCGACTTGAACTAACAATACTATGAAGAGAAGCTAAAACCAACCTACACAGGAAACAAAACTATACAACGCAAGATGAAAACTACCGTACAACATCTCTGGATTTACCAGAGGATTGTAACTGGTCGAGCACTGGTTATTTTCAAAATGAGTTGAAGTCTAACTTGTCAGGTATTCGTACGCAACAAAAGTGGCAGATTTTTAGCATTTTTAGCAATCATCCTTCCCACAATCCTAACAAGAACTCAAGAGGATGTCTTCAGTTGGCGTTGACCGCACGAATTCGAGTCACATATAATTGCTTGACTTTTTCGAAGATAACTACGTGCCTCACAAAATCTTGAAAAAACTATTTCACTGCTCATTCTGTGAACATTTAAAGTGATACATGTACCTCTTTCTTGGTAGTACCTTCACATAGTGCTATTCGTTTTTACACACTTTATAAAATCCAGGTTGCTTCTTTTGGTTTATAGTCTAGAATTCAATGTGTAGCACTCTATCTGTACCCTTAGGCTAGGCGAAATTTCTCTTCTCTAAGTGCGATGTGATACTTCAAAACAAAACAAGATAGAGCAAAACTGAACAGCTAGTTGGAACAGAAACTGCAGGACTACATGCAACTATTTGTAGCCAGAGTACTGCCCGCCGCCCCTTGCGTTAAAAAAACATATATAAATAACAAGAACTCTTTGATTTATTTAAGCAAAGAGGATGGGCCTTTGCATGTGAGACGTCTTTGTGAAAGGCGCTCTAAAATCCAGTACTACTCTTCTGGCAATACTTATAGCCGCCACAATGTCTCTAAGTATGGATGTAAATACCACTATAACACTTTACACTAAACTTTGCTGGTTCTATAACTATATTCAAACACTTTAACACCCTATGGAATCCTGTAGTGTGACCATTCGAATGAAAGCTACTGAGCAGTACTTTCCTGTGGTACTGCTTATTACGCTGTACAACGTGTTTCTAACTTTTGTGTCTGTGGATGAAATCCTAGGGTGTGATCATTTAAATGAAAGCTACTGAGCAGTATACGACGCGTTTTGATGCTTTGGATGTACCTACCAGGTGTTTCTAACTTTTGTGTCTGTGGATGAAATCCTATGGTGTGACCATTCAAATGAAAGCTACTGAGCAGTACTTTCCTGTGGTACTGTTTATTATGCTGTACAAGGTGGTTCTAACTTTTGAATCTGTGGATGAAATCCTATGGTGTGACCATTCAAATGACACCTATTTTGTAGAACTTTTACATAGTACTAGTCATTTCTTAGGATTTTAACAGAGAAATGTGCAGTTCTGTGAATTTTTTTTTACTTTCGCTTAAAAAGCCAGTTTCTCTTGACCTTCATGAATTCAAGGCAAATAGGGTGAGCAACATCGATTTAACTCCAGCACCTAAACTTGAAATTAAAAAAAGAAGAAGAAGAAGAAAGAAGAAAAGCAAAAAAACGCGGAATTTTATATCATGTAATACTGAAATGAAAGGCATGCAAAAACGCTCCATATTTGAAGGGTAATACCGAAGTATTTGCCAAGTGTCCATAGAGTCGAAAGTTAGAACAACCTTGTGTAGCACAATAAACACTACGGAAGAAAAGTTCTGTTTGGCCATTGCACCCTGGCGGCACTTCATAGCAGTTTGTTGCGATCGAAAAACCTCTTGTTTTTCACTTAATTTTCACCTGTTATAAGCCTGTTTGAGTTCATTTACACATTTTAACAAGATAGCTTAGCGTTTATCAATTAAAAGTCCTCGTGTGGCTTAAACTGAAGTTCTTCCCTAAGTAAGCGTGACCCAAAAGGACACCAATTTTAGTTTAATGAAAAAAAATAATTTGACCTTTCCCTTCCGTGAGTGGCAGAAATGAGAAAGGATGATAGAACGAAAAGAAAGGAGATATCTCAAATTCCATTCACGTGTAATAGTTAGAAGAAATCTTGGCAAAGCGAAAGTACGGCACATGTTCTGCCGAAGAAAATTCATTTGAATTGTCACACCAGTAGATATCAGCCACAGAAACAGAAGCTAAGACCACATTGTACAGCATAATAAATAGCACCATAGGAAAGTACTTGTCAGTAGCTTTCATTTGAATGGTCCCACCATAGGATTTCATCCACAGACTCAAAAGTTAAAACCACCTTGTACAGCATTATAAACAGTACCACAGGAAAGAACTGTTCAGTAGCTTTCATTTGAACGGTCACAGTAAATTGCTTTTCTCCATAAAATCGACCTCAGGGGTAAAAAACCGCACGTATCGACCCGACCCTCGAAAAGAATTAATTAGTGAGCTCTTCCTTTCAAGCATAGAACGCTCTTTCTTCGCCAGTTAAATGCACTGTGGGTGCCAGATATTATAATAAAAGTAATAAATAACAATTATTGCTTCTTTGGTGAGAAAGAGCAAGCGAACCATGAAGTCGCAAAATCGTCAATGCGGAAAATTCTCACTTCTAACCATATAACGAAGAGATCAGTGGGTTAGCCAAACCTTTGTAGTATCTGGTTTTCATTAGTATCAACAGTTGAATAATGCCTATTTCATGTCATGCCTTTATAACCCCCTCAGATAGCCCTAGACGCCCATTCATTGTGGTGGTTTCACTTCCTCTGTTCTTTGGTTAGCAAAACATATGTTTTATTTTCGGACCTGGCATGTAGTCTCCCGACCGATGCTGTTTATAGCCTAAAATAACCCTTTGTGTCGTAACTGTATAGTGGCGGCCATCCAAGTTCAATAACCTGCGTGATAGTTTTTGCTCGAATAAGCACATCCAAGGTTTTCTCAGTTTACGTAGTCAAAAGATGGGATCTTTTATACAGCGTTCCGTGCACAGTACCACAGGAAAGTACTGATTCAAATGGCTGGCCAGAATTGTATTGAAATGATTTTTCGCTCTAACTTTTGCATCTGTGGATGAAATACTATGTTGTTACCATTTAAATGAAAGCCACTGAGCAGTACTTTCCTGTGGTACTGTTTAGTATGCTGTACAATGTGGTTCTAACTTTTGAGTTTGTGGATGAAATCCTGTGGCGTGACCGTTCAAATAAAACGTCTTTGGTAGACGCATTGCATCATACCATTTAAATGTTAGGATTTTAAAGAAATAAATTGTATCTTTTTTTTCGAATTTTTACTTTGGCCAATCGGTCCACTTAAAATAGCATTATACAAGTAACACGGAAAGGTGCTGAAATCTTTAATTATAAAAAAACTATTCGAACAGAGTTGTCGTGCAGCAAGTTAATAGACTTTATTTTAAATTTTCCCTGTTTACTCTAAAGGTAGCCTGTGTACAGACCCCCTCCGATTTTTCGTGAGGGGAGGGGGCGGGTCTGTACACAAGCTACTCTAAAGGCTATTTCGATTTTGCATGAAATTGCCACAAATAATTGTGTAATAAGTTACACACTGTACTAAATCATGACGATAAAAGCTTGCAACACTGGCTGTTTCTTGATTTCCCAAAATTTACTTGAATGGAACCAATGTTTTTTGTCTTGTTTTCCACTTCCGTTGGACTGCAATGAATAATTAAAGACTAACAGGCAATATTAATTCTTTAAAGTATTCCCGTGGCGCTTCCGATTTGTTTTTAAGCCCAGTTTCACGGCATCAAAGGAAAGCTATACACAAAAAATTTAATTTAGATACACTCGTTACACTCGAGGCAAAATACTAGAAAAATATGTTTGCATTGGAATCCGATATTGCCTAATTTGCGAGGAAAAATGATTTGTTAATGTTCTCAGCGGCTTTAATCTGTAGACGTCTGGCAACAGATCTTGTTGTTTAAATTTAAGGAATGTGTTCGTGGATGAATGGAAATCACGCAATTTGGGAACGTTGTAGTTTCCAAGAAATAGCTTGGTAACAAAATTTTTAACGAACGCGAGAACGAAGGGACTGCACTTATTTGTGACTAAAAAAATGTAATAGCTTCCATAAAATCGTTTTCTGGGTCAGAAGATGATTACAGAAAGTATTGAATGTTTTGCGAATAGTCAATGCCCATTTTTTGTGTAATATATATAATCCCCCTGTTTGCCTGCCTCTTCGGCCACTGGCAACAATTACAGACTCACGAGATGCAGTACCACAGGAAAGTACTGAACAATTTGGAAGTGTGCAGGGAGATTTTGTTTAGGTTGAAAAAAGAATACAAATTTGGGTTCCAAATTGGATTGGGAAAATTTCTGGTGTTGATCTGCAAAATGAAAAGGAAAATTTCACATGTTACATGGTAACAAAATCAACCGTTCGTGCTCAGAATATATTTGGAAAATGATACACTTTAGTTCACTGGAAAAATCGTCTGGTTTTTTTTGTCTGAAGATGAAGGCTGTTTTACAATTTTAGTCAGAAAATAGTAAGACAAACTACCGTGTTTTGGCCTCAATATAACCGGAGGTACTTGCTTATTCTGGTCTCCAAATAGCTAGAGAAACGAAGTACAAATTTCGCTGAGGTATTGCTTGTACAGAATTGATCAAAAAATGAGTTGTGACCCCAATTTCTTACTTTGGTCTGAAAAATAAGGACGAACAAAACGTCCTTATTTGTACAGAAATGAACATAGAAACGTACCTATTTTATTCGGGAAAAAGGTAAAGAAACTTACTCTTGGTCTTAAAATAAAAAAAAGAAAGGATAGACGAAAGTAGAGGAACCTTCTAACTTCTTGTCTGAAAACAGGTAGAATGAACCCTTATTTTGGGGGGAGAAAAGGAAACTTAGTCAGGTCTGAAAATGACTAGAGAAACCTTCTTATGTAGAATAACAGGTGCGGTCACACTGGGCCTTTCCCTGAAACCTTCCCTTGGGGAAATAGCTTGGCTTGAGTTTTCTTTCATGTATGCGGTTACACAGCGATAAATTGCCCAAGGGGAAGCCGGATTCGTGGCAAACGTCGTTGTAAACGATGAAGGCTGACATAAATCGTAAACGCTTACGACTATGTTTACCCTTTTAATAATACTAAAAACGAAGAGGTGGACTTCATTGGCGCTTATCAGAAAAACGAAAATTCCCACTCAAAAATCAAAAGTACGGGTTTATAAAAATGGTGGCAACGACTTTATAAGAAAAGAATTCTTGAACACTGATGTAAAGAAAACTTGCAAGTGTTTCAAGTTGCTTTTGGATTTACAGACTTTCAAAAATGTCCTTCGTCCGATTTAATATGGCGTGGCGCCATATTAAACTCGTAAGATCGACTTGTGGCAAGTCTATTGAATTTATTAAACGGAAAAACCTGAAAAAAAGTTATTTCTAAACCTGTGTGTGGTTTTCTCTTAAAACAGCACATCCAAGGAAACAGCGACGAGAACGAACAACATTCACTAAAGCACAGTTAGAAATCCTAGAAGAACTCTTCAGCAAGACGAAATATCCTGACATCTTCATGAGGGAAGAAGTAGCTATGAAAATTAGTCTTCCAGAGAGTAGAGTACAGGTATGAGCACTCTTATACTACTACATGAGAAATTTCTACAATTTGATTGGCTTAGAGCAGTGGTATTTCAGCTTAATTTGAAATACCTACATGTGAAAATTACAAACCCTTCGCCGGTGGTAGTATAAACAAATAATAGCATGATTTGTACGTGATATTTGGCATAAATACGTGATATTTGGCATAAATAACACTCGTTATATTTCAAAATTGTCTCAAATTTAACTCGCCTAACGGCTCGTGAAAATACGTATAACAATTTTGAAATATCACTCGTGGTATTTATGCCAAATATCACTACAAATCATGCCATTACCTATACATATTGTCAGGACTGTCATTAAGAGCCGGGGGCCAGGGATTTCCCCGGCTACTATGAACATGGCCCCCGGCTACTTTCAAAGGAAAATAAAAGAAAAATAGAACCAAAAGAAACCCCTAGCTGTTTGATTCACCGCCTACTTGTTGTATTTACCCTGCAACTTGAAATCTTAGTGACAACCCTGATTGTCTTATCATACTGCAAGTACCTAGGCGACTTTTAAAACGAACAGATTTTTTTATAAAATTATTAAAAAAATAATTTTAATAATTTTTTTGTTAATAATAAATAATTTTATTTAACTTTTAAAAAATATGTATGTACATAATTTACAGAAATATTTGAAGTAAGAATTAAAGCACTATATAACTTTAAGAATTAAATAAATCATAAAAAAAAACAATCACTGTGTCAAGAACGATTGCCCAAATACATGCCTTGCGTAGTTCAAAAATAATAACGATGTAAAAAAAAATTCCAAAGGTCAAAAAATAAAATTTCTTGCAGGCAGTCCAGAGTTTAAACTTATGTCAATAAAACAAAAAAGACCAACCACTAGAACTTATTAATGCATTGAAATAAAACTAATAATTCTTCTTCCAAATTCCTTTGAATGGGCAAGCTGCAGCCTTCACCATGTCCCTTTAATCTGCTTTAAGTTTAAATCCTTAAGATCTTTCCTTAATTACTGCTAGTTTATGAATCACTACTACTAGAATGTTGAGTATGTGGACGAAACTGTCACGCTGTTCTGCAGTGTCTACTGAGCACATAGCAAAACAACCATCAAGCTATAATGAAGAACACCTTTACTAAATTCATGATTAAATATATGGACCACTTCTTTAATCCTTCGAGATTGCAAAAGTATTGGCGAATGTCCTATTCCTTTTATAAATCCGTCCTAGAAATACTAAATAGCACAGGCTTCTTACTTCTATTCCATACTTTATACTACTACATGACAAATTTCTGCAGTTTGATTGGCTTAGAGCAGTGGTATTTCAGCTTAATTTGAAATACCTACAAGTCAAAATTACAAACCTTTTGCATGTAGTAGTATAAACAAATAATTAAATAGCATGATTTGTACGTGATATTTGGCATAAATACGACTCGTGATATTTCAAAATTGTCTCAGATTTCACTCGCCTAACGGCTCGTGAAATTACGTATAACGATTTCGAAATATCACTCGTTGTATTTATGCCAAATATAACTACAAATCATGCTATTACCTATACCAAATTCCCTACTTCTTGTCATCTGAGGTGAAATATACCCGAAATAATTATACATCTTTTCACACGTACTAGTCGAACCATCTCTGAAGCTCTACAATTCCCAGCTGTCGCGTACAATAAAAGAATTAATCATTACAAAACTAAGAATCAGTTTACTTTACAAGGCATACGAATGCTATCCTCAAACAACCTTGTCGACGTACATTGCATGTGGAGGAAATTAAAACGATGAAGTTATCAATTAATTATTTTTATTATATTTTTGACCAAAATTTCTCTTTTACGTGTATTTTCTCGGGAATAGGAATCCGAGTTTTTCTTTCACCTTCTAAATTGAAAAACCGAAAGCAGGAATCCAAGAAAACCTTTTGAAAAAATCACACTTCCAGACACCATTCCAGAAAGAAGAAATTACACACCCGTGATGTGTGACTAAAATTTGCCAGACGCATATTACACATGGTCAAATACTATCAATACAGCGGTCCAAATTTTCAATTAGAAAAACGGAGCACTGCAGCTACACTATAAACGAGTTTGCTGTGCATGGAAATTTCGCGTGCCTAATTTATATTACCTTGTTTTGGGTCTCTCAAGTGTGTGGACAAAATCCCATGGAGTGACCATCCACAATGAATACAATCTTACAGTTACGTCTCGATAAGCGGACCGATATATAGCTGATTAGCGAGAGGATCAGCAGAAACCATTTATATCTGTACTTTCTGTAGCATTCATTAAAAGTCTTATCTTTAGATGATTGTAAAACCTGATCAAACGATCGATCGATCGATCAATTCATTACCACTTAGGGATAAATGTCGCACGACTGCAAATTTGCTGTTTTCGATGGAATAATGTCATGGCATTCGAATGGCGACGGTTGAGGAGCACGTTATGTAACTCTGAAATTTCTAGAAAGTCTAAAAGTGTGATGAAATAAGTCAAAAACGATTCGAGGTTTTGTCATCTAATGCTCAAACACTGAAAACTAATATATCACATTGAAAACTAATATTAATGTCACATAAGAGAAGTAGTGTTTAAACTGTTATCACCAGTGATATCAAACACGAGAAGGAGTGTTTCATCTGATGTTTAAATAGCGGGAAGTGATATATAAAACACGAGAAGCAGTGTCTCATCTAACTAATGTTTAAACCCCGGGAAATAGTACATCAAACACAAAAAGAAATGTTTCATCTGATATCTAAACAGCAAGCATTAATACATCAAACACGAGGAGTGTTTCAGCTGAGATCTACACACCGAGAAGTAATACATCAAACACGAGAGAGAGTGTTTCAACTGAGATCTAAAAACCGAGAAAGAAGTTACAAAAACGATACACATACCGGATCTTTAACCGACTTTGTAATGCCTGGTGTACTCTCAAATCTTATCAACTTTTTTTAAAAAAATTCAAACAAACGTTTGCCAAATTTTCTGCCAATTATGTTTGGCTTCACAACCCATCTCTAAGATAGTGATTCCCATTGTTTTATGTTCGAACGTTGTAGCAAGGGTGAGAATATTAGTCCCAGTGAAAAGATATGGGGCAGTACTTTCCTATGCTAATGACGTTTTAGTCCATATATAACTCCAAGTGTGACGGCTCAAATACTGGCTGTTAAATAGCTCGTTCCAGTCGCTGAATCTGCATTATATTGTACATTAAGGTTTAAGTCTGTGGATAAAACGTGATTTCACTGTTTTCAGTGTTGTTCAAAATCCTTTACCGTCTCAGACGTAGAGCGAATCAAGGTTAAATGTAAAGTTCTTCTAACTTTTGAGTCTGTGGACGAAATCCTATAGTGTGACCATTCAAATAAAAGCTACTGAGCAGTACTTTCATGTGGTACTGTTTTTTATGCTGTACAAGGTGGTTCTAACTTTTGAGTCTGTGAAATCCTGCATTGTGACCATTCTAATGAAAGCTACTGAGCAGTACTTTCCTGTGGTACTATTTATTATGCTGTACAAGGTGGTTTTAACTTTTGAGTCTGTGGATGAAATCCCATGGTCTGACCATTCAAATGAAAGCTACTGAGCAGTACTTTCCTGTGGTACTGTTTATTATGCTGTGCAAGGTGATTCTAACTTTTGAGTCTGTGGATGAAATCCTTTGTGTGACCATTCAAACAAAAGCTTTTGAGCAGCATTTTCTGGTGGTGCTATTTATTATGCTATAGAGAACGCTTCTAACCTTTTCGTCTGTGGACGAAATCGTATGGTGTGGCAATTCAAATAAACACTCCTCAGCAGTATTTTTGCAAGGTACCTCTTGTTGATCCAAGGTTTCTCAAAACGAGATTAAATTTGGAATTTTTTGGGATAGACTATCACCATGAGAAGTGAAAGGGTTAAACAGGTAAAACGACTCTGCAGTGACCGATAACCTTACTCTTAGTGCCACACCCACTATCCGAGTGAAGTGAAATTTTGCGGATGGAGTGCAGCAGCGTGCAAGAAACATTGTCACATAGCAGAAACTCAGTACATCAAATCACGGTACATTTGATGATTCACATCGATATTTTTAGCCAACTACTCAAAAATAAATATCATTTACTGTACTCTCTCTGGTAATTAGACTCTAAAAGAGTGCTTTCCTCGACCTTTTTTTTGTATCAGGTAAAATTTAATAGATTGATTAAGTGACCATCTCCGGTACTGGATTGGATCAAAAGACCTTATACGCTAAGTGTGATATGGAATACCCATTGCAAATTACATGATATTCCCTGGAGATTTCCAAATTTTGCGAAAAAAAAAAACAAATGGCAGAGGGAAAGAGCTCCAGATGAGGTCTTAGTTGAATGTTAACACTTACGGAATTTGACCACACACTTAAAAGTTAGAGAATACCTTCCGTGTCTGCATAATTATCTCTCGGGGTGAAAGTGTCATGATATATGTACGTGCTTGACTGTCTTTTTTGTGCAACATCGAAAGAGAATATTTTTTGAGTATGGTGACATAAAAAAAAAACGCGAATATCACCTGATCCTTTCAATGCCGAAGTTGGCCGAAGTCAAAATTCAACAAATTTCTACATTTCATTTTGTAAAATGCTGAAAAACAAATAGTGCCAAGTGAAAGTATTGTAAAAGAGGTTGCATTTGAATGGTCACATCATAGGATTTCATCCGCAGATTCAAACCTTAGAACCACCGTGTACTGCATAATAGACAGTACCACAGGAAAGTACTGTTCAGTAGCTTTCATTTGAATGGTCACACCATAGGATTTCATCCACAGACTCAAAAGTTAGAACCACCTTCTACAGCATAATAAACAGTACCACAGGAAAGTACTGCTCAGTAGCTTTCATTTGAATGGTCACACCATAGGATTTCATCCACAGACTCAAAAGTTAGAACCACCTTCTACAGCATAATAAACAGTACCACAGGAAAGTACTGCTCAGTAGCTTTCATTTGAATGGTCACACCATAGGATTTCATCCACAGACTCAAAAGTTAGAACCACCTTCTACAGCATAATAAACAGTACCACAGGAAAGTACTGCTCAGTAGCTTTCATTTGAATGGTCACACCATAGGATTTCATCCACAGACTCAAAAGTTAGAACCACCTTCTACAGCATAATAAACAGTACCACAGGAAAGTACTGCTCAGTAGCTTTCATTTGAATGGTAACACCATAGGATTTTATCCACAGACTCAAAAGTTAGAACCACTTTGTACAGCATAATAAACAGTACCACAGGAAAGTACTGCTCAGTAGCTTTCATTTGAATGGTAACACCATAGGATTTTATCCACAGACTCAAAAGTTAGAACCACTTTGTACAGCATAATAAACAGTACCACAGGAAAGTACTGCTCAGTAGATTTCATTTGAATGATCACATCATAGGATTTTTTGCACTGATTCAAAAGTTAGAACCACCTCACGCTGAAAGGGCTAAACAGCGATCGTGAATAGGGAGCCTTTCTTTTCTTGTATCTTTTTTACTTCAGAACTGACCTAAATCAAACTACAAAAACACCCAAAGAAACTATTCAAAGTGGCTGTTATCTTTATGTTCGTATATTAAGATAAAATATTTCCTTACATTCTGTCGTGTTATCGGTAGATATTGAGTCCGATTTTAGCCTCAATTAAATTAGCTTTAGGAAACAGTTGAAACAGGAACTTTCGAATTTATCACAAGTAATCTAACAGCTAGGATTAGTTTCAACAAAGATGGCTAAAGTCAGACTGACTGTCTGAGATGAGATGTCTTGTCACGGAAATCAGGAGTTACGACCACATGAAGCCACAGCAAGTAAAGCCAAAAATTCCAAAGTTTGAATTTGAAAGCGCACCGTTAAATAGCTCAGTTATATTTAGTAATTACCGAGAAAGATTTCGTCTATTCACGTATATTAGGCTAGAGATATTTACCAAATTATTGTTTGTCTTGTTTGATTGCGAAATAATAAACAAAAAATGCGAAATTGTAACAACACTTCATAAAATTCATATTTTGACATTTGTATCTTGACACGACACTACAAAAAAGGAAAAGAAGCATTTCTCTCCAAAACCAGACCCAAAATATTGTTCCCCTAAAGCATGGATACGAAACGAAAAACGTTTCTAGTTGACTCTGTCATTCCCATGAGGAACGTAGGAAATTCTTTAATTCCAATGTGTAAAGTACTCGAGAACAAATAGTACTAAGGAAAGGAACTTCGCCAGAGGATCGTCAATAAACTCAAAAATACTGAAAAAAACTCGCTCGTTTCTACGTCTGACTTGTGGAGTGAAAGTCGTTTTAGATTTTCGTTCACGTCGTGCTTTAAAAGAATGTGAAAGCTAAACCAGTTTTATACATATAATTATAAGAGTGAAGAATTTCTAGCCCAGACTTATTTAATGGGAAACACGCGTAGGTATTTCTGACACCAATGTACTAAAAACAAAAGTCACTTATGGCCACATTTCTTTTCTAAAGTGTCGGTTTGTCTTGACTGTCCTTGAAAATCTACAGTGACTAAATGGAGTGGATCTAACTTTGAACTTGTGAGCATGGTTGAGCCTTTCATTGCTGACGGTGGCCTAATTGAATATTCACACACAAAAAATCAAAGTTGTTTTTGTAAAATTCTAGGAATCACATACGAATGTAGTATTATGCAAATGGTAAAAGCATAGGATTTCCCCAGAGATTCTAAAGTTAGAATGACAAATCATCTCACCTAATCTTGGTCAAAGAGGTAAAGGGCCTCAGAAAATTCTTGAAGAATCTGAGCCAGCTATTTTGCTAAAATGGGACGATAACATTTTAATCGGAAGGTTAAAAGTTTGTTCCTGTACTATTCAGTGTTTAATATGCTGTCAAGACGGATTGTTCTAACTTTTGAGGCTGTGGATGAAATCCCATGGTGTGACCATTCAAACAAAAGCTACGGCTGAGCAGCACTTAACTGTAGTACTGTAGATTATGCTGTACAAAGCGGATCGAACTTTATGCCTGTGAAAAAATCTAAACTGCTATAATTTAAAAGTTTAAATTAACTCAATTTAGCAGTAATTTCATGCAGTAATGTGATTAAACGCTTTACAAGATCATTCACACTTTAAGTCTCTGCGCCCATTAATTGTACACAACGATGTGTTTGCGCCTGTGGCAAATAAAACCCGAAGTTATGACCGCTTTAAATCGCTTGGGGAGTCCTCCAAGATGGTACATCCCGTTCAGTTTTCTCGTAAACTTTGTTACCATGTTTGTGTGTATATCATTTTACTTGGGATGATGCAAACCTAGCGTATCAGACTAGAGACGATTTTCCTCGAGTGGAGGTTTACGCTGTTGCAATGGGCGCATTTAATTTGGACTTAATTGTATTAGTACGTTATGACCATCTAAATAAAAGCTATTGATGAGTGAAGCAGAGTAGCTCTGCGGTGCAGAATCAAATTGCTTGTTTTGTGGATCTATTGTAAACCGTTTCTGTGCATGGCAAAGCTGAAGAAGGGTTTTATGAGCCAGTTTTTGCGTTGGCGAAGGCCTTTTAAGTACGGTAAATACTAATAGTATCGAAAATGCTACTTATTTTAAAATGTTGCAGTAGTTTCACCTCCAATTTATTGCTAAACTACATATTTTTGCGGTAGGGTTGGGTCAAATATTCCGGTTTTATGCATCAAAAAGTATTTGAAAACGTGACATCCAACCGACGACAGAAAATAACACAAGAAAGGAAAGACCAGCGTGCAAAGAAAGTCGTGTCCGATAGCCTCAACGGGGCTAGTGGATTTTGCTATCAGGCTAGTGATTTTTTTCCCTTAAAAGGTCACTTGCCCGACGGGCAAGTGCTGTGTTTTTTTAGGGGAAATTCAAATTACAGAAGGATGGTAATCAATCCTGCTAATCAAAAAGGGTTTTGGGGCTAGTTGAAATGACTTGTTGGCTAGTACATGCTGGCTACAGCTTGCCCGAATGGCAGGCTGTGAAACGGACTTTCTTTGCACCCTGAAAGACAATGCTTTGAAAGACTATCTATTGTGAAGGTTGTATTAAACCATTTCACCTCATTTTACAAAGAAGTGCAAAACAAATGGTATTATGAGAAAGGTCTGCCAAAGTGGTTATATTTGAATGATCACATATACTGATTTCTTTTACAGTATCAAAAGTTAGACCAGTTATTTTCATACCTCCACAAAATACTCTACAGCTGAGAGGGTTTAGAAAATTAGCAAATTGCACTAGAAAAAGACAGTCTTTCTTCTGAGAATTTGCTCCGCCAATTGTCTGCTTTTTTGCGATAATAAAATAATGTTTTGGGTACGACAAGCTCTGCTAGGACCTTCAACAAGGCGTCCGCAGCTGGCAAATACGAGGAATTAATTTCTTTTTCTAAAATATGCTGCTTTTAAACTTTTCAGCGAAAATATGCATTAACGTCACTTTTTATATCGTCTCCCTTTATTGTTTCCAAGTGATATGGAAAACAGTTACCGCAATTCTAATTCTTTCTCAAAGATTGGTTTTGGGCTCATACGACTTGTTATTTAGGAGAGGCTTGTAATGTGTGTTATCGCCATGATAGTAAGTTCTTACTTCACGTTTGCATAAAAAATAGATTAACTCTTCAGTTTTTAGAGTCAATTAATTATTATATAGACGCGTAATGGAGTTTCAACTTAAACAATCCTCACGTGTGACCATTTAAATGAAAGCTACTGAGCAGTACTTTTCTGTGGCTTTGTTTATTATGCTGTACAAGGTGCTTCTAGCTTTTGAGTCTGTGGATGAAATCCTGTGGTGTGATATTCAATTAAAATCTCTTCAGCAGCACTTTTAATGGGTACCATTTATTTTTCAGTATTTTTACAAACTTAAATTTAGATTTAAAAAATGGACTTTGGCCATTTTTAGCAGGGGTAAAGGATTGAGATAAACTGAAAATGTAGTAAGCATAAATGTTTCATTTATTCAATAGTTTTTATTGTATCAAGCCATTAATAAAGAATGATAAAACATGTATAATCTATTCTGATATGAGATAAAGACGCTAAAGGAATTTGATAGAAATGATTTCATAATCCCGGTTATAAAATGTTAAAGTTGATACAAGTAGAGAGATAATTACCGTATCACCGGTCTGCAAAATGCACGACTGCTTGATGGGATTATCCGTGAAAGACTGAGGATATATTCATGAGTAAATGCGATTAGGATGTGAAGGATGAAAAATTTTGGACATGCGATAAGTTTCATTGACAGCTGGATCCACAGATAGATCGGTTTATAGTGAAAAAAAAGAAAAAGGATGTTTAAAAATAGGTTAAACATGGCACAATATGTAACAGATAGGAGAGAGAAAGTGTTATGTAATGAACTACTACACTGCCCTTTATCAAAATTCAAATTCTCATTTGTTGTCCCTATACGTTTTCAATTGAAGTTGTGGAAGGAATTTGTTGAAGTATCAGTTAGACTCATCTTGCGTGATCATGTCCTCAATTCTCGTGACCACTGTGTTTTATAAAGCAGTGATATCACTCTTAGGGCTTTGAGGGTTAAGAAATTAAATAAATGACAAAATCACAACGTCCTGACAAGTAAATACGTCCTCAAAGCATTTTTTCAAGTTAGCCACAACTGGGAAAAATTGAAAAAAACTGTCACGATAAAAAATTTTCAAGTTTTAATCTTCTTCACTTCTTATTCTTCGATTTTTCGTACAATTTTTGTTGGAATTCTTTGTGCGGTTTCAAATCACAGATTCTAACCTGTTAAAATAAATTTTCATCTGACAATAAATGCGTAATATAAATTTGTAGCTACTGCTGCAGAAAAAGGTTTGGGAAAAAGAAACAGAATCGCCAAAACGTGGCTATGAAGTCTTCACGAGAAATTTGCCTGTGTAAAAAGGCCAGGTCTTTTCTTGCGGTGATTTTAAATATGAAAAGGCCCTGGTGACTAGTTTCCAAGTCATGTGACTCTGCTGGGGAGATTGATGGAAAGTTCGAGGTACTTTTCTGCGCACGCGTTTTGTATGCTGCCCTGATAAAAAAAAAAAGTGAGGAAAGTATAAAACGCCGAAGAAAAGAGCCCTTCTCTTGTTCATGTTTCCTTCCTAATCGTTTATTTTAGAAATTGTTTTACAAAGAAGATAAACAGAGGAATCTTTGAGACTAACAATGGAGCATTTATTTACACTGATTCTTGCTTTGTAAATGTCTTGTTTCAGGTGTGGTTTAAAAACAGAAGAGCCAAGTGTCGCCAGCTGGACAAAGCAGCGGAAAACAAAAGAAAACTCGAAAAAAAATCTCCACCAGGGCCAATTCCTTCTCCACCAAAAATCAACGAACCAAAAAAATCAAGTCCTTCGCCATACCAGCTCCCAAGCTGCAGTGCGAACATGAACGGGAACATGTGGAACAATTCATCGTCAATACCACTGACGCATGGTCAAAATTACCCCTCTCCTCCCGTACTGACAAACAATTCCGGCCCAGTGTTTATGCCTCCCCCACACCCTCCCCCTGCGCCGGGACCCCCACCTTATTATCGACAAACCGCTGACTGTTCTTATATGTCATCGCCGTATATGCACATGAATAGACCGGGCGAGCAACCGTATCCTCCGACACATATGTAATGAACGAGCTGTTAAAATCAAGCTATGTATATCTGGGCAAATCAACAAGGACCGTCTTCGCGAGATAAGCTGACCGTGCCGAGTTCAAGGCGAAGATTGCCGAAGCGCTGGTTTTAGCGAAGACGTCCGATTGTCACGCACAAGGATGAAGTTGGCAAAGGTTTTAGAGTATATGCTCAGTTGCTTTCAAGCGCAAAGATTTTTTTTTTAAATTTAGACCAGAGAAAACTGTATATAAGAATAATGAGCATCCTCTTTTAAAAGATGCGAAATGAGAATTGTAACAATCGCGTTTAGAGGTTTTTATAACACAGTTTTATTATTTCGGAAACATGGAGTCAGCCTATGGAGAGATGAATCATTAGCTGAGTTATATCGCAAACAGCTGGTTGCTACTTTTTTGGTCCACGTGAAATAATTTGTCTTTGCCATAATTTAATTTTAATGCATTCTAGAGTACCGCGCAATATATTTGTAGATCGTTTCTGTTGTTTAAAATATCACATTGTCTCTAACAACCAAAACCTGAACTAATACAAAAGGCCTATCATGATACAAACTAAGGATTCGTAGGAATTACAGCGCAAGAAAACAGGTTACTGACTTTCCTTTGTGGGGGGGAGGGGCAAACGTGTCAAAGTTAAAGGGGCTGTGTCACGGCAGTCCAGTTCATTTTGTTTAATTTTACCAATTACTCGCCCTAATATCGCTACGGAACTTAAAGTAAACAAAGAAATTACATGGATATGACAAAATCAGAGATTCGAGACAAACAAAAGTGTCTTCTGAGCATTATTTTTGAAGCTACAAACAGCAGAGATCAACTTTAAAAACCTGTTAGGCTGAACAGTTTTCAAAAACCCTAATTTCAATCCGTTTCAATCTTCTTCAGTTTTGCCTATCCGAGGCAGCTGTTGTATCTGTTGTGTTATTTCAACCTTCCTTTAATGTTTTAAGCGGTTATTTTTATGTCTCTCTTAATTTAACGGGCATTTTGTAATTACCTAATTTGGCTGAATTTCGTGACACAGCTCCTTAAAGGTTGTTTACCATTTACATCAGCAAACCGATCGGTTCAGGGTTTGAGCAAAAATTTAGGGATCATTTGACGTTTCTGTGTAACTCACCACCTACCCTCCCCCAAGTCACAACTTTGCCTTTAATGAGAAGCAAGTGTTGATTTTGACTTAGGGGAGGGGTAGGTCGTCTGTTAACCAGAAACCTCAACTGATCCAAATTTAGTACTGGTAAATTTCGTCCGGGAATCGCGTTGACCATTTGCACAAATCAGTTCCATTTACCGAAAAACGGCCGCGAAAGACTGAAACTGTTATCAATTTGAAGAAATGAAACACGAGTTTCCGTTTGGAACATTCCAACCGGGAAAACAGGACTACCATTTCACACGTTTCTTTGCTACCGGAAATTTTCAACTGAAACGATCCGAAAGGTCTTTTCCAATCAGATTTTCCAGAAACTCTTTGTTAATGGTAGACAACCTACAAAACTAAACAGCCTATCAGAATTTAGGGTGAGGACGGGCAGCCGCGTAAAAGTGCGGGAAAATGAGTGCTATTATTGCAGCTTCAATGCAACAGAGATATAACGAACCTCTATATAACGAAGTCCATGGTGTAACGAACAGTATTTCTTCACCCCCATAATAGTACAACATATGGACAGGAACCACAATATAATGAAATCTCCTCATAGCAAACATATTTTGCCAGTCCCTTGGCCCTTCACTATGATGAGGTTCTACTGTTGCGCTATGCAAAAAGCACTTCAATCCAGTACGGGAAAATGTGTAAAGGTCAATGCAAAGTTAAGCATTAATAATGGCATCTACGTTTTCCTGTTAGTACCATACAAATATATGGAAAAGAAATGTATTCAAATATAGGGGTACTAATGTGTTTGATTCTACATGTAAGGCTATTAGAACTTGTCACAATTAACCATCTTTCAAGGTTATTATAATCCTAGAAATTTCTCACCTGGTCTTTTGCGAAGAACAGTTCAATTTTCATCTCTCTCTTTTTTAAATTTAGACCATATCGTTGTTCACTTATTCAGTTGATGCATGCGAAACTCCATTTGCTGTTGAGAATATCAGATGCATTTTCATATTAAAAATTTAAGGCACATAATTAAAAATCAGTTCAAATAAAATAATTTATTCATAGATATGTGTGATGAATGTGTATTGTGAGGATGTTGACTATGTCTTGTTAAAGCCATGAAATGCATGTATCAGTTCAAGTCTGTCACCCCCCTCCCCCAGCATGTGGGGTTGAGAAGGAAGGCCAGGTAAGCAAGCTAGAAACAGTCAAACCTTCTTGTGTGACCAACACCCCCTGGGGGGGGGGGGGGTTTACTTGGGTTAATTTTTGCTGGTTATGTACTGCTGGCCTCTCAGAACCCCTACCCCACAATAGTCTATTCTGCGGCCATAATGATTATAGACCTCATCTTAGTCACTTTGGGAAAAAAGTAATTTTCACAACCCCAACTTTCTGTTTATGCATCTACGTTATAATTAACAATTAATGAATGAGGCTGAGAATCTTATGAAGAATTATGGAGATCGAGGAGGGTATCACCCTCCAAGATCTCCATAATTCTTCATATGATACAAAAGCTGAATTCAATAATTGTTAATTATAACGTATTGTTAACTATAATGTCCGCCATTTTTGTTTTCACCACCAAAATAACTCAACCTCGTCCCCAGATCTTCTCGGTTAACGATGCATTAACCTGCAGGAAGGCTGCTCGTTAAACACAAAATTCTTCCAGATTTGGTCATCAGTAACTGGTTATGGTGAATTATGCATGTACTTTTAGCCAATCAGAATTGGGGAAATATTTTGAATGAATAATAAAGCCTTTTAACTTGGTCATCCTAAAATGAACTGACACATTAATTGTTTAACTCAGTGAGGTGTAAATCTTTCTATTTTCAAATCCCTAATTACCCGAATTTTCTGACACCCAAAATCCTGAAAATCTGCGACCCCATTCCAGTAACTCTTACAAAAATGCAACCCAATAATAGTCAATCCAGTCATGAAAATGCGACGCCATCCAGCGGCACATATTCCATATTCATCGGCCTACTACCAGGAAGTAAAAACCCGCCTGGGGACAAACCCCTGCAAGTGACTACCTCCAGTTAAATAAGCGACCACTTCTCCAAAACACCAAAATTTTCTCAATCAAAGCCTTACAGTTGGAACCTCTCATAAACAAACACCTCCTGTAAGCGACCGCTACCACTGTTTGGGACTGGCAGTTCTTTAACTTTTTCATGCTAAGCAGTACAGTGGAACCTTGATTTAACAAACCTCTATATAATGAAGTTCTTGATATAACGAAAGATTTTGTTTACCCAAGTAACAGTAAAATATATGAAAAAGAACCTCGATATAACAAAACCTCGCTATAGCGAACAAATTTTGTCAGTTCCTTGGCCCTTCATTAAATCGAGGTTTCACTGTACATGAGTCTCATAAGCCTACAATGCTACCCAGGTGGAGGACAGTGGAACTTCCATGCAAATTCTATGGGCATGCTGAAAATTACAAAGAAACCCAAATGCATGAGGTCCAATAAGCCTACAATGCTACCCAGGTGGAGGACAGTGTTAATTAAATCCCTAAAAGAGGCTTCATTAAAACAGGCAGCCAATTCCCGAAATCAACTAAGAGCTGTAAGAAAGAAACCACCGTTTTAGTAAAACGAACGAACCTGTATTCAGCGAATCGGTACCTGTGTATGTCTGTATCAACAATTCAACGGTTAAACATCATACGTACGTTCTGTTATTTATACAGGATTTCCACATCTACTCCTTCATCCTCTGTCCCCCCTCTAATTCCCACATTTAAAGGAGATTTCTCAAAAACCACTGATGGACTATGAAGACTGAGCACTCCTACGACAGAACTTTTAAAAGCCGCCATGGCCGCCATCTTGATTAAATGTCCCGCTCTCGGCCAGAGTCACATGATGTGTCACGTAACTCATTCCCAGGGTCTTATCCTTAGAAGTCAGTTGAAAAATCTCGCAAAGCGAAACAAAATCTCCCTAGACCTTGTAAGAAATAACGAAAATATACTTCTTTTAATTTAGTCCTTCCTCTGTTTGTGAATTTTGTGTGCCAGGGTGGGATTATATTCGTTCTGACTAAAGGGTTGTTAAAAAAGGGTTGAAAAACATGGATGACAATGGCTTCACGAAACAGACTTACTGACAAAACACAAGGATTTCCGAATAAAGAAAGTAACTTTGGCCAGAAATTTAAGAGCTGGAGAGGAACATTTCATCACCAATCGACACAAAATTTTTTCCCCTGCGAGTAATGCGGGGTCAAACGTCGAACTTCCGCATGTGCCAAGAGAGCATAATCTTAGATTATTCTCTCTTGCAAGTGCCTAATGCTGATGAGCAAAATCCGTTCCGTTCTCAACTTAAGCATTATATTAATTTCAGCACATTTGCAATTTGACGATTGACTCGGGCCTAAGACTGAAATCGAAACTACGACAAAACTGAATTCGCACTGAATCTGAACAGAAGCCGACTACTAGATTTAAAACGCCAGGAATGGATTATCCATTAAAAAATCCCCCGCCCAAAGTTTTTGCCGCAAAGAGGTCACGCAGAGATTAAGCCACTGACCCTCCCCTGGAATATATGAGCTCTAACTGAAGGTTGAATTGGATCGTCGTACTCTCGATTTGGATCGTTTATATCAACTCGCTACCCTACCCCTCCGGCCCAATATCTACGCACTGCTTCCTTCAGATTAGCTTGATGAAGGCGTACGCGCTACTTTGCTCATGTGATGGTGTGTGCAAAGGTGAATGTGTGCCACGTGACCAAGGTTTCCCTTTACTTTTCTTAAACTGTTCTTTATCCCTTCTACGAAAAAAAAAGTACATTGTCATGGGGTCCTGGTAGTTTCACGCTATTTTCAACTATAAGTATTGTTTTAGACTGTTTTTATCTGCTCATTTCTTTTATTTTGTCTGCCGTTTACCGTTTGCCTTAAACGTGACTCTAAACTCTGTAATGTCTTGTGCGTTAAACTATTTTGTATCTTTTTGCGTTTTTCCCTTCGTCGCTCCATGTAAGGGAATCCAAGACAGTCTTGGATTCTGGATTCCAGGTACTGGATTCCGGATCACCGGCTTTTGTCACTGGAACTTGGGTTCCGGATTCCAGTAGTTAGTGGGATTCTGGATTCCTTGATCTGTATTAATAATAATAATAAAGTCTTTATTCATCAAGAGATAAAAATACATATCTTTTGTTACAAGTAAGTGTAAGAAATTTAAAAAGTTAAAAAGTAAGAAATAAAAAATATATACCGGTATATATATCTAGTATATTACATAGCTAATTCATATTTAAAAACTAAACGATTAATAAAAGAGTTTTTAAAGCGCATAGTGTTAATCTTAGGTTTAAAACTAGTTTCTTTTCTAAGATTGTAGCTGGAGGGTTTAACACGAGGTATAATAGATAAAAGTGGATGTCCTTTGGCATTAAAAACTTTTTTAAAAATTTTACGGTCTTGCCTCTCTAAGAAATCATAAACACTTACAGGCTTAGACGTATATTTCCTTTTAAAACAGCGGTCTAAGAAACATTGTACGGGTGTAAGATCGGACTCGGACGCGGCGTAGACAGATAATGCGTAATTAATATTAGGTAGAACTATAGTATTAAAGAGAAGGTCTATTTCTGACTGATTGTACCCTTCTTTGCGCAGCGTTCTAAGGATATGTAGGGATTTGTTAGCTTTAATAAGTTTGTTCTTCACGTGCACTGAAAATTTGCTGTCACATTGGAAGGTGACGCCCAAAATCTCAACTTCTTTACAGCTTGGTATCATCCCAATGGGTGAATAGAGATCGTGGTTGCCTCTCTTTTTGATCGTCAACTCTTTACATTTGCTTGGGTTGCAAGACATTCCATTTGTATTCGTCCAATCTAAAAACTGTGACACTAACTGATCGGAGTAGTCTACCTCCTTCCATACAGGAGCAATAATTGTCGAGTCATCAGCGTACTTAAATAGCGCGTCATGATTACCTAAAGTGATGTTAAGATCATTGAGGACGATATTAAAAAGGTAAGGACCGCTAACGCTACCTTGAGTTGTCCCTTGGTTGACCGGTTTCCAGTCACACTCAAAGTTGTTACAACATACCCTTTGTTTTCTATCCTTTAAAAGTTCAAGTACCAATTGGTAATATATGGATTCAGTGGGAGCTTTTTTTAATTTACTAGCAAGAAGTTCATGTTTCACAGAGTCAAAAGCTTTGCTGAAGTCCATAGCAAAAAAGGCGAACTGCTTTACAATCCGGGTTATCCAGGTAGCTGTTGGTCCTATGTTGAATTGACAAGAGAGCATCGGTACAGTTTCCACCTTTTCTGTAGGCGAACTGTGAGGTGCTGAGGTGGCTTTCAATTGTCTCGCGGATTATATAACTGTATTGCGGATTACAAAGTCCAAGATTCCGGATTCCAAAAGCAAAAATATCCCGGATGCCGGATTCCATTAAATGAAGAGCGCGCGACCCTCGGAGGAGTTAACAAAAACAGCAAGACAACAATGTAAAGATAGCGGGTGCAGATCTAAAAACCCACTAGACGTGGACCAATAGAGAAGAGAAGTTTGAGGTCACGTTACCAAGGTTACAACATTTCTGGATCTAAACAATCTTTCTTCACACAGACAGCAATTTGCGTTGTCGAAAGATGGAAGAAAAGTATGGGTTATCGTTTTGTTCCTGAGTGCGTCATGCACAGGGTAGTCATATATGTCGTTTTTTCGTTTTTTTTTTTTTTGCCATATATGCAGGACCTCAGTTTGTTGAGATCCAGAAATTTTGCTACCATGGCAACATGACGTAACGAGTCTTTTCTCTAAAGTAGAAAGAAAAATTGGGGATGAGGACGCCAAGTCGCCCTCAGTCTTTTACGCGCGATTTCCCTTTCAGTATCCCAAGTGACGTTGCGTTGTCTGCCTAACGCGTCCGCGTAACTGTGCTCCCTCACATTGTGGGTGGCTCATCCTTTAATGTTCTGCAATTAGTACAGGATTTAATGGAGCTAAAACCAATTGTGGAACCGCATGCATTTTAGGCATCCCACTGATAAGTATTTATTGTATTTAGCTATCGAATAAATCCAATAACCGATGCGTCCAAATGAACAACTGTTGTAATTGGCAAGGCGTAACCAGCCTAGGGTGGAATTAAATATATTTTTTATTATTGTAGGATACGGTGGGCGGGTATGATCGAAAGCTAAGATAGAGGTGTTAAAGAGGCCTTAATTAACACACAAAGACGAAAGGATACGAGAAACTTCGACTTCGTTATAAAAAGGAGATATGGGTACTAGATTTGCGAGACAGAGGAAAAAGTAATACCTTCCGTGAAATTACTAGGAGTAATTATAATAAATACCAGTTCTACCATTTTGTCATTTAACATTCGTCGTCGTTTGTTTTGTAGCCTTGTCAGGCGAACATTGGATATCGCAAATATCCAAAAAGTCATCATTCATAAGGCAATTGGCTTCTGCGTTATTACGTTATCGCGGCTGTAGGGTTTCCCGGCCTTAGCTTCATCCAATTTGTATACGTACTAATAGGAGATAAGAAGATTTGTAGGAGCGTATGTTAAGCAGTCAAACTTATAGCAAATTAAGTTCAACTGCCAAGTTTCAGCTGTGTTCGAGGTGGTCGCGGGCTTCAGTGCACCGGATTTTGGAAATTTTAAGAGGAGAGACAGCTTTAGATAAGAAAAGTGGTCGTGAATGGAGGTTCGACAACTCTCGACACCTGAAGTGAACGCTTCTTTCTCATGGGAAAGTACGTGATGCTCTATATCAAAGTAACAAAGCAATTATACTAAAAAATTTCTCATAAAACCTGACAAATTGTACAATGTGATTCAAGCAAATGTATCAATCTTAGTTCAACGAAGTTATTGATTTCATTGACGTGAGAGTTCCACTACACTGATGTAAGCTTCTTAGTGTTTAGATGTAAAGAATTCAACATATAGTGGAGAGAGACCTGTCAAAAGCGAGTTCGGCTTTGATTAATTGTTCTCTCATTTTTGGCGCAATCAGAGAATATTTTTTATGGTGTCTTAATTATTTTCTTTTTCATATTTTTGTCTTTCGCCAATGTAAGGTAATCCAAGACAGTCTTGGATTCCAGATTCCACGCTGTCGATTCCGGATTCCTAGTCAGTGGAGCTTGGATTCGGGATTCCGGATTCCTTGAGCTGAATGCTGGATTCCAAAGCCCAGGATTCCGAACACCAAATGAAAAAGTTTCCAGGATTCCGGAATTCGTATTACCTTCTAAGATGCGATGTCTTGTATTTGGGTATCTTATCTTATTTTTACCCATCAGTTTATCGTCTATCTTCAAACATATTGCGCTCACTGCCTTCTTAAAAACCCCGCAGCCCAACATTTGCCAACCCCTTGTCGTGAGTCGGAAGTGAGTTCATAAAGGCGATATAAATCTTTCTGGTGCCATCCCATGGTCAGACACAAACTAAAACTTCAACTTCAAACCCGACAAACTTCTAACTTTGCAAGCCGATGTGTAGATAACGCAGGCACACCCATAAAGGAATGTATCGGTAGACGCTTTGAATCCGTTGAAAAAAGTCCTTGTATAGGATGAAAGATACCGCATTCTACTATGTTACTATTATAAGTTTGTGGATGAAAACTTATGGCATAATCACTCCAATGGAGGCTTTTAACGGCACCTTTACTTGGTGCTGCTCGTCTTTTCAGTATTCCTCAACAAGAACTTTTCATACACTCAGCATTTTTTGTTTTAACTGATCGTGATCGTCACCAGTTTTAGTGAAAAGGGTGTGAGCTATCTGAGACATTTTTTATCTTTTCGGGTCTTTAAGTTCTATGGAAGAAGGTTCTAGGAAACGAATCTTATCGCACGAAAACTGCCGCAACTAATTGCAGAATATATAGAGCAAGACACCCTGGCATATGATAAACAGCTGTTCTCTCAATAATGCCCCTTACATTTATGTCACTCACAGCCAATTCCCCAGTTTTCTTTCTTCTTTCTCCTTAAACAGATTTGAGTCGCGAAACGGCGTCCGTTTAGGGACAAAGGAGCTTAAGAAGGAGAGTAGAAGCCTATGGGCCTTTCTTAGAGGCAAAATCTTTTAAATTAAAAAGCTCCTTACCGTCAAGACGTCCTTTCCCGCTTTTGTTTCACACGCCACGCGGAGAGAAGCGAGAAGCGGAAAAACGGTTGCGTTTGCTGGGAGTGGAATAAAACCGCAAGGCTTTACAAACAGTACTAGGGGCTCAAAAGTCTTATTAGAAGTTTCAAGCTTTTTTGTTGTTGGCTGTCTAGAGCATCAATTCAAAAAACGACTTCAGGACGTGAAGATCATAAGATTGATAGTACCCTAACACAACTTCAAAAGTGAACAGCTTTTCTATCTGCATTTCAACTTTCGTAACTTCGAGCTTAATTTTTTTCTTGCTGCAATCCACGCCCTTTAATAATTCGAAACCAATAACGCGTTAAGAGCAACTTTCTTCCAATTACGACCCATAGTCGGTAAAATTTCGGTCATATTTTGCTGATGAATAATCCCTAATGAGTAATGAAACAGGCTGTAGTCAGTTTTTCTAACATATCCCGTTCTTTCGTTTTTGATATATATTCCCTCGGTGTTTGGATATCAGATAAAACAATTCTCCTATTTGATAATTCTATCAGTTTTCAGTGTTTGGATATCTGTCGAAACACTCTTTCTCGTGTTTGGTTTATTACCCCTCAGTGTTTTGACACCCCGTTTCGTGTTTAATATATTACTTCTCAATGTTGGATATCGGATGAAACTCCTCGTGTTTGATACATTACTTCTCGGTGTTTGGATATCAGATAAAAGACTCCTCGTGTTTGATGTATTACTTCTTTGGATATCTGATGAATCGCTCCACGTGTTTCTGACGTCAGATGAAACACTACTATTAAAAATGAAGTATATCTAGTTGAAAGACTAACTTTCTTTGTTAGTTTAAAAAAGGCGGTTTATTGCCAACAAACAAGTTTATAAACAGACTTAACTAGGTAAGTGCTTCAAACAAGCTACAGAAAAACCAAGCTGCCCCGCTTTTCAAAAACCCGTAGTTAACCGTGGCCGACCGGAGAAGTGGCGCCAAGGCGCGAAAAACTCCCGTCCGGTCGTCCGGGACCTTGATTGCAGTTAAATTTCACAGTTGATTGCGTGATTCGCCTTTGTTTTAATACTGTAGAATCGAATATTAACTTGACCGATCAAACCTGGTAAAATATTATCTAATGCTCGGTGGGAAGGAACTCCGCCCGAAGGGCGACGTATTTCGTCCACAGTCATTACCTTCAGCGGTTTTCAGAGCATTGGATAGTACTTTAACAGTTTTTAAGCCCGAATGACGGTTTGCTCGATTCAACAGTACAAAAACAAAGGCGATGCCCGGTATCAGGGTATAAACTAAAAATTTAACTACAACCAACAATCAAGGTCTTAATTAACTCCCCTGCGTCCTGTGATGGTCCCGGGCAAGCAAAACAAGAGCCCTTCTTGTCCAGAGCACAAGATGCAGAATTCAAGTTTTTTCAAGCCCCGAAGAACCACCGATGAGGGACACTATCTCAGAACTCTTTACTATACCTACTGGTAATCAAGAAGGTCTGACATTTTTCGCACTTTGGGTGATCAACCCAAGCAGTGAATAAAAAAAAGACAACTATACATCAGTTATAAATAAAGGCTAAAAATCTAGTTATTTCAGCTGTTCTTGCTTCTGTTTTTCCTGTGAAATGAGTCCATCCTTTCTTCTCTCTCTCCTCGACACAACACGCAGCTGTACTTGCTTTTAGTCTTGGCTAGTTGAGCATATTCCTTTTCATTGATGCCATCACAATCTGCAAGCATAGAACACTTCGTAAGCAAATCTGGGGTCATTAAGCTCGATAAGTAACCGTCCCTCAAGGGATACCCCCCGAAGATTTACAATACTTTGCCGGCTTGGCGGTCTATTACCCACCCCCGAGAATTCTACTTCGAAATAGTTGTTTTGTGTAAATATAGATAAAGATATTCATTTCTGTAATTTAGCACAACCAAGTCTTAGTGACAGCTTTTCTGACTAAAAGTACTTTCAAATACCCTAATACTGGGAGCTTATTTTTCCTGCCAAAGAGAGGAGGGGGTTAGAAATGGGAGGGTTGGTGAAAATATAGAGGCTGCTACGGGTTATTCGTTTTATTTCATGATAGGGTATTACTGAAAAACTCAGTGAAGGATATTCAAATCATTCTTCAAGGCAGCCATTATCTTAGTCCCACCGAATCTTTGAGATTGTGCAATCTGCAGATAATCATTAAATACAGTTGTTTTCAAAACATTTTGCTCATGTTCAGTGAGGGGGCTTCGTACATGTTTACATGTATGTTCAAAAGGGGGGACTTAAATTTTCATTTCTTGTATAATACTATTTACTTCTTAGGATATAACAAAGAGAAATTTGAATATTTTTGTGAATTTTTCATTCGGTGAATCTAAGAGTATAACGCAGTAACAAAAAAGTTTGAAGAGTAAAAACGCCCTTACCCGTGTGTACCCAGCGGTCACACATGTCACAACAAACCATGGGCAAGTCCGATTCGTCATTTCGATAAACTTTTAAGCAAACGGGGCAAAAGTTCCCTGATCTGAACAGCCTGTTGGAGACAACGTCAAGCATTAGACAAACATGCGAATGTCACAATCAGAAGGTACAAAACTTTGGCGGGTCAGTTGCATAGCGAAATATTAAAGAAGTCTGGATCTTGGTCCAGAACCACAGGAAGTTTAGGCAAAGACGTTTTTGAACCACGACCGGAAGTAAGTCAACCGGAAGTGACACCTTTTCCCTTTTGATATACCTTGACGCTACCAGACGTGTCTTGCTGAGTGTCTTTACTCTTATAGAGACGATTGGCCCGAAAATTTGGGAAAAACATCGACCAAGAACGCAAGAAATCCACTTCCACGTCTTAGCTTAAGTTCGCTATCATCCGCCTCGAATCCTCGCAGGCTCTTCAATTCTATCTGCCAAGTTTACAAACAATTTATCCCGCCACAATTTACATTTGTGTGTTGTTAACTCAACCTGCTTTGCTCTCCGCGCCTGCTTTCCCACAGACAGCTATCTGCAAATCACGACGTGGGTGACACAGAAGCTAACAGAATCGGCTTAAATATCGCGGTCAACTTCTAAAACTGTCATCATTTTTCTGGACGTAAGGATTGCTATGTTATTTTTATTTTCAGTTATATGAATGAATTTGACTGAATGATTTACTTTGCGAACTGGCTGCTGTACTAGGACTTAAGAGGTGGCGTTTTGAGTCTCAGCTTATCGTTTAGAATGATGGGCCCGTTTTTCAGTCTCTCAAAGGTGGCTAAATCTCATTTCAATTCAGTTAATAATGCCAAATTCGGTCCACAATGAAATAAACTGTATAACAACGGAAGGTCCAGTCTCTTGCGCAGCCACTTTGGCAACTTCGTTCCCAGTGTTTCTCTTCCTCTCGTCGGTGCCCTGAAGAGAGAATCTGGGGACAAGGTTGTTATTTTTGTTTTTTCAAGGGGGAGCGTTGTGTGACGACACAAATAATGGTAGCGTATTGGGACAAAAGAGAAGCCAGTTTTAATAATTAGAAAGACAAATAGAAATAGAGGAGTACCTTGAACAAGCACTGCAAAGGGTTTGTAAAAACTGTGCTTCTGCTCCGTCACGCGGTTTTGTGTACTACGTGTGAAAAGAGAGGCGTGAAAATAATTAACGACTTTATTTGGATAACACAATAAATTAATGATAACCCAGTACATGTAGTTTACGTTTTGGCCCACAAATAAGGACAGAAACAAATAATTGATATAGACATAACAAGTAGGAATGCCAACTGGGAGAAGGCCAGCTTGTTGGCTCTGCTTTACAAGCTGGAAGGAGTAGTTGAACTTGGGATTACAGAGAGCAAGTGTAGAACGCAAGTCCTGCGCACAAATAGCCCAGTCACGCTGTGTTCGATTAAAAGGAGCTTAAGGTGGCTCGACTGGTTTTTTGGGGTTGATACCTCCCAAGTTTGAGCATTAACTACGTCGGCATGAGTAAAGATATCGAAAAAAAAGGTTACCACAACTGTATTACATAAAGATGAAAAATTTCTATGATCTGGGTTTTATTGCAATCGAGTCGCCATGGCAACATAATGACGCCATTACGTTTTTCATTTATCCTTGTTTTCTCTGTACCAGGAGTTTTTGAAGAAATCGCTTAAGGGAGTATGTACCTGCCATAATTGCCTCCATTATGGCAAGTTTGAAGAAATTCTATGAGGCGTTTTCGAAATATTTTCGAAAATGCAGTTTAAGAATCATCAAAGCAGTGAAACAGCGTGTTAGCCGCTCAATTCGCTAATATTTTAAGAAAATGATAAGCTTTGGGACGCAGCTTCATCTCATAGTGGTTTGATTCCATTGAAAACTGCATACAAAAAAAAGAATTGCTCTGGGCGATCGCGATAAGAAGAATTTTATTAACTTGCATTCAGCTGCTTTTGATACAGTTTTGGAGGTAATTTGGTCCATGCCTACAATTTCGCATTTTCAAAACCGCTCGATAAATTTTTATAAATTGGACAATTCCGAGATCAATTGTCAACAAATATTCCTGCAAGTTTCAAGAACATTGAAAACAGGGAAGGCTTTTTAAATAAGGGACTCAAACATAACCAATTTTCCTCCCAGATTTGTGTTTACAAGTGAGCGTCTTCATTATTCACTGGCATTGTTTTCAAGTTTCATATGTACGTGCACAACTAGCAAAAATATAAATTTGCATCAAAAGAACTCTCGATTACGTTCGAAGAAATATCCGTATATGCTAATAATTGGCTTGTCGTCACAGATAGTAGTGAGAGCCGAAACGGTGAACGTCTCGGCTCATCGTGTAGGATGCAATACTTGATTATCTTATTGGAATATAACATCACAGAAACTCTCATAAAGAGTTGCTCTGATGTTATAATGTATCACTAACCTCTTTACCCGGTAATTAGCATATTCCGAAGATTTAATTGAGGGTCCTTTTTGATACAAATTCTATCTTTTTGCTAAATGTGCACGTGTATATGAAACTTGAAAACAATGCCAGTGAATAATGAGGACGCTCACTTGTAAACACAAAAATCTAAGCGGAAAATTGGCTATATTTGAGGCCCTATTTAAAAGCCTTCCCTGTTTTCAATGTTCTTAAAAAACTTGCAGGAAAATATTTCTTGCCAATTGATCTCGGAATTGTCCAATTTATAAAAAAATTTATCGAGCGGTTTTTGGAAAAATGCGAAATTTTTAGGCATGGACCAAATTACCTCAAAAACTGTATCAAAAGCAGCTGAATGCAATTTAATAAAATCCTTCTTACCGCGATCGCCCAGAGCAATTCCCTCTCTTTTTTATGCAGTTTTCAATGGAATCAATCCACCATGAGATGAAGCCGCTTTCCCAGAGCTTATCATTTTCTTAATATATTAGCGAATTGAGCGGCTAGCATGCTATTTCACAGTTTTTATGATTCTTAAAACTGCATTTCAAAATATTTCGAAAACGCTCTCATAGAATGTCTTTAAACTTTGCCATAATGGAGGCAATTATGGAAGGGACATGCTCCGTTAAGCGATTTCTTCAAAAAACTCCTGGTACAGAGAAACACAAGGATAAATGAAAAACGTAATGGCGTCATTACGTTGCCATGGCGACTTCGATTGCAATAAAACCCAGATCAAAAGAAATTTTCATCTTTATGTAATACAGTTGTGGTAACCTTTTTTCGATATCTTTACTCATGCCGACGTAGTTGAGGCTCAAACTTGGGAGGTATCGCCCTAAAAAAATCCAGTCGAGCCACCTTAAGCAACATTGACGGCGACGGCCACGAAAACGTCACTTAAAAAGTGACTTCGCCCTGCCTCAAACTTAATCGCAGTTATTCCATCTCGTTTAACTCGTCAAATGTTGGCAAACTTTTTTGAAGTTGAATTCTAAAGGACTGTATCACGGTTCAGGAAAAGAAAAAGAAAGTTGTAATCTTGTGTTCCCGTCCTTAACAAAACGCGAAATTAGGCACTTTCAGGTTGTAGTCGTGCAACGACGGCAAAGAAATGTACAAAAAAGCGTGATGCACGTGCAAAGTTGTTGTTTTGCTATCTAAACCTAATACTTTTTGTTGTTTTCGTTACCGTCGCCGTCGTCGTTGCTTAAGCTCCCAAAGACAAAAAAAAAAAGACGGGAATGTAATTAACGAGACTTTGACTGTATATAGCTGAGATGAGAACAAGATGCACCGACTTTCCGAGGAGTTAAAGGAGCTGTGTCACGAAATTTAGCAACATTCAAACAGTAAGAACTGCCACCAAATTGTTCGGAACACAAAATAACCATTCACAGCCCCTTTAAGCTGTTCAATCTTTGATGATACCCAAGAAACCATAGATAGAAATCCCCTTCGGCCTCATTTTTGTCGCACAAACCTCGTGTTTCCATCTGGATGCTGATCCCTCGCCTGGTGACCGCCTTAAACACGATGCACACATTCCGCACATGTCACACGTCCAACGACCTGGTCAACCAGAAAAAGGATCTAAGATCGATGAAAATGAAATGCTCCTCTTTTCAAGCATGGGGCAAACAGTAAGTTTGAACAGTTGACAAGATTCAATCCCGTGCCTAAACTATAGAGCGTTCTGCTCTCGCAGAACTCAGTAGGCTCTGGCGACTTACTTTTGAAAGGAAAATCTCCGTTTTGACAAAACGTTTGTTATTATGCTGGTATTATGGTTTCCCGAGGATCCTAACTTCTAGACTTCTTACCATTTTTTTAAGAGCACAGTCTTAGAGCTACAGCGACCTCGGCAACTTAACAGTTCTGTATCATTTACGTGACAACTAGGCCCGATTTCAGCCGCCGAGCGCGGGGCTCATTTCCCGAACAGCGGCTAGTAATCGAGCCTATATGACAACGTCCTGTATTCTTCTTTGACCAGCAAAGTCGAGAGCATTCTATGTGGTGATATATGAAGAAAGATTCAAAACAGTTTTGTTCCTTTGCTCTAGTCAGCGCTGCTGACATGATTAATGTGTAATGTGTATATTTACTCACCCACAGGTATCTGCTTGAGTCCAACACAGAAACTGTGATATCCCCGATCGCACTCGTCACAAAACAACATCTTGTCCTATCAACAATCACAATAACAATCGCATTAACTCTGTCGCTCGACGCAATTTTCCCTTCGTAAACAACCGTCGCCACTTTTAACAGACTTCAGAACATTTTTGAACTGTTGTTGAAAGTTTTTACATTAAAAAGCAAGAAATTCACAACCCAGAATAGAACCCGGAGGGGGGGGGGGGAAGCGGTACTCGGGTTAATTTTTGCTGGGTATGTGCCCCTGGCCTCTCAGAGCCTCTACCCCATTATAGTCTATTCTGTGGCCAATTATAGACCCCGTCACTGTTGGGCAAGTGTAATTTTCATGATTCCAACTTAATCACTTTCTATTTATGTATCTACCTTCTCAATCCTTTAAATAGGTCATTCCAAAATGAATTGATCCATTTTTAATAAATGGAATGAAGAACAATTTCCTTTTCATCAACAGTACAAACATCCAGGTACGTTTGCTAACCGTAAATATGAAG